TTCCATAGATACGTCTATGGTAGACACTTTACTCTGCAGACGGATCACAAACCGTTAATAAAAAATTTTCATTCAAAAAAAGGTCTACCGGCAAATAGGCTACTTAGATGGGGAACGATTCTTCTGAACTATAATTTCAGATTGGAATATTTACCAACAAAAAGAATCGGGCACGCGGATGGTCTGTCGAGACTTATACCAACAAAGACAGAGCCATTGGAAGATACGATAATCGCAGCCCTTAGAAATGAAGAAGACATAAGAACAGTACTATGTTGTACAGTCAGAAACCTCCCAGTTACATTGCAAGACAAAAAATGAAGCCAAAAATGACGAATTTATTAATGAAACAAAAGCAAAAATATCAGAAAAAAATGAGAAAATTTCGGACAGCTTTTTTCTATGCGATAATGTGCTACTTTACAACGAAAGGGTTGTAATCCCCAAAACTTTACAAAAACGGATACTGAAGAATTTCCATAGAGGACACCCGGGTAAAAATAGAATGAAGTCGCTAATGCAAAGCTATGTATATTGGAAGAATATGGACCAGGATATTTCTCAAATGGTGGAAATGTGCAAGGGTTGTAATTTAGCAGCTAAAACACCGCCAATCATACATAAGCCTTTGCCTGAAACTGATCGTCCATGATCAAGAATACACGCAGATTATGCAGGACCAATTGACGGGTTCTACTATTTAATAAAATAGTTGATAGTTACAGTAAATGGCCGGAGGTGTTTCGGTGCAAAATCCTACTACAGAAACGACAATAAATTTCCTCCACAAAGTATTCGCTCGGTTTGGCGTAGTGGACTGTTTAGTAACAGATAATGGAACGCAATTCACGTCAGCAGATTTCCAAGAGTTTTGCGAAATCTATCAAGTAAAGCATATAAAATCCCCGCCTTACCATCCAAGATCAAATGGACAAGCGGAGAGATTCGTGGATACTCTCAAAAGAGCATCACGAAAAGCGTACGATGTGCCTACGGAGAAAGCGTTACAGCAATTCCTACAGGTATATAGAATAACGCCAAATAATGCGACACCATCAACATTATCACCAGCAGATATCATGTTTGCTAGGAAAATCAGATCAGCGTTCGATAAATTACTACCAAGTAAAACAAAACAAGTAACACAGTCCTACACATCAAAAAGAAAATTCCTCCCAGGGGAAAAGTTTTTTTTAAAGCATACAAAAATAATACCTCTTGCTAGGAACAAGGGATAATTGAGAGAAGAATTGGTAATATGATGGACATAGTTCAAGGAAAAAAATTCTCACACAGAAGACACGTAAACCAAATAAGGAAGAGACCGTTACAGGATGCTAACGGTCCACCTCAAGAAGAGGTATTGGACACGATTTTCGACACATTCGATATAACAAGACCACAAATAATGCCAGAACCAAGAAAATCGTCTAGAAAAAGAAAATTTACTGAACCTTTGGAAATAGATCCAAAGAAAAAAAGATATTAAAAAAAACCCTGCTACGCAAAATTTTCGGAAGGTGGGGTGTTATGGGACCTTACCCATAATAACATAATGGACTATGCCATACGTAATAAATACTGAGCCTCAAGAGGAAGCGGAGAGTTCAGTCTGAAGTCTGGAGTGAGATCCGTCAGAAGTCTGTCAGTCAGTCAGAGCGAGCCAGTCAGTCGAGTCAGAGGCAGTCTGAACAGAGTCGCGTTCAGACAATTACTACTAAACCTGATTGTTCGTACTAACACTTTCTACTTCTCTGTATATATTCCTGTTTGTAATATATCTGTGTTATTCCATATCCGTGTTCGAGTTCTTCTTTATTAGTTCTACCTTGGACTATCACCGTGGTACAAGGAACTGAACCATAACATATATATATATATATATATATATATATATTATATATATATGTATGTATGTATGTATGTATGTATGTGTGTGTGTGTGTGTGTGTGTTATTACAAATGTTATAACGCTTGGAAGAATGGTACCAGAAAAGGACAATGCAAATGGCATCGAAGCTGACATTCATCGCCCCATTCTTTCCTTCGAAAACTATCATTCACCTTGTGAACAGTAAAATACTCAAGCAAATGTTATAAGTCGAGTTGGTGTACGTCACTCGACCCCAGCATAAACCAAGGATGTACATCAAGGATTGTTTAATAAAGTGTCTTGCAGCCTGCCATATAGACCATTAGTGAGAAACTGTTTGAAACTAAGTGGCGGTCAACAAATAATGAAAACATTAAGATCTTTCCAGAACATGCAATGAGTTGGGAAAATGTCAAGCGTTCTACTCAGTTTCATGCAGCCTGATATATAGAAATGCTTGAGTGGTTAACTGTCTTTGATCGAAGTAATTGGCGTTGTATAATTCATGATGACACTAAGATCTTCCAAGAACATGCAATTATTTGGGAAATGTCAAGTCTCAGTTTGATGCCACCTGATATATAGTAGAGTTTGAGTGATTACCTGTCTTTGATCGAAGTAATGGGCGGTGTACTATTCATGATGGCACTAAGATTTTCCAATAATAGGCAATGAGTTGGGAAAATGTCAAGCGTGCTACTCAGTTTCATGCAGCCTGACATATACAAGATCTTGAGTGGGAAATTCTTTGATCGAAGTAAGACGCAGCTTAGAATTCATGAAAGCATAAATATTTTCCAAGACCATGCAATGAGTTGGGAAAATGTCGAAAGTGCCGCAAAGTTTCTTGCAGCCTGATATATAGATGATCTTGAGTAGGAAACTGTCTTTGATCGTAGTAAGTTGAGACTTACAATTCATGAGAGCATTAAGATCTTCCTAGAACATGCAATGATTTGGGAAAATATCAAAAGTGCAGCTAATTTTCTTGCAGCCTGACATATAGAAGATTATGTCTGTGAAACTGTCTTCGATCGAAGTAAATAGAGGCTTACAATTCATGAAAGCATTAAAATGTTCCACGAAAATGCAATTAGGTAGAAAAAGGTTAAGCGTGCTACTCAGTTTCTTGCAGCCTGATATATAGAAGAGTTTGAGTGGTTACTTGATTTGATCGAAGTATGTGGAAGTGAACAAATCATGAAGGCAATAAAATCTTCCAAGGACATACAATGAGTTGGGTAAATGTCAAAAGTGCTGATAAGTTTCTTGTAGCTTCTCATATAAAAGACCTTGAGTTCTTACCTCTTCAGTGATTACCTCTCTTGGGAAAATGTCAAGCGTGTTACTCAGTTTCATGCCGCCTAACATATAGAAGACTTGAGTGGGAAACACTCTACGATCGAAGTAAGTGGAGGCGAACAATTCATGAAGGTACTAAGCTCATTCAAGAACATTCAGTGAGTTGGGTAAACGTCAATCGTGCAGGAAATTGGAAATCATTGATTCAGTGTTCCGGAAATTTACCCGTGATGAATGTGAAAGGGTATATCTTCCCAATGCAGGCTTCTGTAGCCAGAAGATTCATATTAGTAGACATTACTATGCTGGAAATAACTTAACATGTGGAGTGTTTCAGTAAACCCGCAGAAAATGTTCCATTTTTTTTCTGTCACATGATAACATATGAGCAAGCTTAAAAGTCCAGGCACTGTACAAAATAACTTACACATCTACAATAACCTTGACAAGTATATTGCTGTCTTCCATAGATAACTAAAAACTTTGATTAAATATTTCAGCAATGGCTCTGCTCGTTTAACGTGTCGACGGCCACAATACATACACATATACATGATTATTAGTATTAAAATATTGTGATAAAAGCACCAAATTGTATTACGTCTTCTTTGTATATACTTATGCTTTAGCAATATTATTTTTAAGTATTTAAATTGTGTTGCTTACGTACATCTATATTTGAATAACGGGGGTTCATTTCGAAAACACACGAGATATGTATGCAACGATCAATAGAGGTAAAAAATAAATAAAATCTGTGAAAAGGAGTAAATTCTTCCAACGATGATATTAAGTCGTCGCTACTATAAAAACACATTTCCAATCATAAACGGTAATCTTTCAGTATTCAGCCTACCGAGCATATTTCTCTCAAAAAATAATCAATGAAGTCGTTGTCTCAAACGCTTTCATAATTTTATCTAGTGATTATCCCGTTTCTATTTGTCAAGACGGCGCTGCCTGATCGATAGCGTGTCGTGAGGAATGGTCACTTTAATTACATTAGAATGACGACCTGAGGGACATATAGAAGTAGATTACGAACCCGATTGTCCTTAAGGTCACTCGTGCTTATCGAGATGTAAAGATGAGCATCGAGACTTAGTACAAAGTCGAAGTGGGTCATTATTTTATTTAAACACACCAGCGTCTGCGTTCGTGCACATGTATGCACGCGCAGCAACATACGCTGGGGAAATATATATTTCTAATGCATTTATGTCAATGCTTGTTTGTAAAGAGCAAAAGCATATATGGCCATCCAACTCATGACTTAAATATGATTGATACGAGCGTGTGTTTGCAATTGTTACAATTTAGAATTTTCTCATTTTATTTCTTTCAAATTCATAATTTTTAAATTATAAAATAAACTAATTAATGATAAATAAATGATAAAAACGCTGAAAACAAGTTAAATTATGTGTGTGATTGTATATGGATTAAGTTGATTGTGATGCGTCATTTTTGTAAGTGGAAAGGGTTTGCCTACTTGCATTCGAAATCAACACTCAAACATTAGTATTTTACTGAACACTTTTTTCTGGCACGGGTAGAAAATACGCAGATATTACAAATAAGAGACATGCCCTCTCCTAAGCAGGTTTGGGCGTCGCGAAACTACTACAGCAAACAGAATCGGCAAACCACATTTGAATTTCAGTCGAAACTATTTATTGACTGTGAAATAATACTTTGGAAAGTACGGATTCATGTTTTGCTCCATAAAACTAAATGTGAAATTTACTCTCTGATTTAACGCCAACAACATTTACACTATTAGAGAATCAATAGAGTAAATAAGTTTTCTGAATAAATTACAGACTTGCAGCTATATCAAGTTGAAACACTGGTTCTCGTACGATCACTGAAGTTAAGCAACATCTTCATGGTCAGTACCTGGATGAGTGACCGCGTGGGAATGTCAGATGCTGTAAGTTTATATGTACGAGTATGGATAACAACTCGGAATTGGAAATCGGAGAGCTGATTTCCAATTCCAGTTGTGTTCGTTATATTTACCCGCGCAAATACCCAAGGGAAAAGCATGATCCACCTCTTCCCCCTCAGATATGGGGGGAAGAGGCGGAAGTAGGACGTGTATCAATAAATCATTATTATCTCCAAAAAATCTTACAATCTAGAAATGTTTTCTTGCTTTATTGAAAAACCCATAAAAGACAGAAAACATAATCAATCTAAATAATTTATAGTTAAGTCCAAATTATATATAGTTATATTTGTATATTTACATTTATTGTAGCTTTACCTCCTATGTACCGTGCCCTTCGGGTGGTTTTGCGATTTGGGCTCTCCTCAATTTCCTGTCTCTTGTAGCTCTTAATAACTTTTGTCTTTTTTCCATCTCTCTCATACCCTTCTCGGTCATAATTTCACTCAAGTTCGGAAGGTTGGTTGTGCGTTGCTTTTCTCTGTCCCTCTTGCCTTTAATCCGTCCTGTGAATATCAAAGTTTCCAAACTATCCTTTCTCATTATGTGTTCCAGAAACATCAAATGTCTCTTCCTCTTTGTTCCCATTTTCTTCAAAATGTTGTTGCTCACACGTTCAGTCCATGGTATTCTCAGCATCCTTCTGTAGAACCACATTTCTGTTGCTTCAAGTCTCTTCACTTTTGAGGAGATTTCCAATATTTAATACTATATCGGAGAACTGATACTACATAACAGTTCAGTACTCTTTTCTTTGTTTCTAATTACATTATAACTCGTTAATATAGGATTGCATTCAAATTTTATTCGTGAATAATACTTTAGATTTATGGAGAAACAGTATCTTACATATATCAATATATAAACACGATGCACTTGTATTTTTAAAGCACAATGCTACTAACCAAAGGTTTGGTGAACTTGAGGCACGAATGGTTTCCTCAATGAAAGATATACATAAAATATTTGTTCTGTTTGCAACTAAATATAGTATATATTTTCTAAAAGAGAAGCAAAGATTACTTCATAGTTAATATTTACTCTTAGCAGATAGAAATAAGTGCAATATCTTAGCGTATATTCTTCAGATTGGCTACTTTTGTCATTTAAATATAAGTTCTTGCAGTTTTTTTTATAAGAATTAAGATAATGGCTCCGGGTTTTAATACTACATATAAGGTTATAGAGGTTCTGCATTTTCCCTTGTGAATTCAGTGACATAAAAACTATTATATGCCATCTAATACAGTGTATATATTTTACAGATTTTAAATGTTTTGTTACTAACAGAGATGAACGATTGAAAATGGTTAAATATCTTGAAAAGAAATATCTTGTCACTAACAGACGTCGATAACTGAGAGAGATCAAATATTTTGATAAAATTGTCTTGTTGCTAAAAGTACACGATAACTGAAAATGGTTAAATATCTTGAAAAGAAATATCTTGTCACTAACAGACGTCGATAACTGAGAGAGATCAAATATTTTGATAAAATTATCTTGTTGCTAAAAGTACACGATAACTGAAAATGGTTAAATATCTTGAAAATAAATATCTTGTCACTAACAGACGTCGATAACTGAGAGAGATCAAATATTTTGATAAAATTGTCTTGTTGCTAAAAGTACACGATAACTGAAAATGGTTAAATATCTTGATAAAAAAATTATCATCACTACCAGAAATCATTGAAGGAAAATATGATGATGTTATGACAAATTCTCTTCTCATAGAGAGACTACGTTGATTGACACAGGCCATACACTCTGGCAAAAGAAATCTTTACACTAACAGGTTTTGATGTCAAAACGAGGCCAGATATTTTAAAAATATATCTTTTCAGTAATACAGATGTCTGATAGAGAACAAATATAGTAGAAAAAGATGTCTTCTCGCTAACAGAAATCGATTATTGAGAATGACCAAGTTTTGTTTAAAAAGATATATTCACACAGATATCAATAACAGTGTGATTTTTTTGAGAAAAATGACTTGTTACTACTTGTTACGACTTGTGACTACGATGTCAAAGACAAGTCAAACATCATGAACAAAAGTAATTCGCTGTCGAAGAGTGGCCATATACCCTGAGAAATTATGTCTTCTAATAGAACATATATCTTGAAGAGATTTTTTCTCACTGACAAATATCTACTACTGAAATTGACCAAATATCTTGACAAAAATCTCTTGTTACTAACAAACCTCGATAAATGAGAGTAGCAAGATATATTAACAGAAATCGGTGTGTTAGAGTGGTCAAAAATTTTCACAAACATTTTATTACTAACAGACATGTATGAATAAGAGTGGCCATATATCTTGACCAAATGCATCTTGTTCCTAATAGACATCTATGGTGAGAGTTCACAGATATTTTGATAAAGAAATATTGTCACTAACAGGCCTCGATGAACGTGGTTTGCTCGATATCTCACAAAAATCATTTCTCGCTAATAGAAGAGAGTGATAACTGACAGTGGCCAGATATATTGACAAAGCAATTATTCTTACCAACAAACCATGATAACGAAAAATTATCATTTCACAGAAATTGATTATAAGGATGAGTAGATTAAAACTACTTTGTTACCTAAAGATACCTGAGAATGGTCAGATATTTCGATCAACAATTTCTTCTGACAAAGGAACCTCAATGACTGAGAATGGACACATATAATAACAAAAATTATCTTCTCACCTGGGATTGATGATTGAGTGTGGTTAGATATAGAGACAAGAATGTCTTCACACTTACCGATATTGATGAAAATAAGAAATCAAATATTCTGACAAAAAAATATGTTGTCATTAGCAGTGCAGACGGCGATGTCTAAGAACGACCAGTTATCTTGACAAAATATGACTTCACATTGACAGATATCGATGTCCAATGAGAAACCAGATATCTTGGTAAAATATGTCTTCTCGTTAACAGACATCGAATCTAAGAATGTTCAAATATATTGACAAATATATTTTGACACTGATGACTGAAGGTGGTCAGATGTCTTGATAATATATTTCTTTTCCTCAACAATCCTAGGTTAATCGTAGTGCCTAAATATCATGATAAAATATACCGTGTCAACAAAATATATCGATGAATGAGTGTGGTGAGATATATTTACTAAAATATTTTGTGATCAACAGGCATAAATGTTGAGAGAGGCAAATACCTTGACAAAAATACCTTGTCAATTACGCACCTCGATGGCTAACAATAGCCAGATACGTTGACAAAATAACTTCTCAATAACAGACTTAGAATTAGGGTGACAAAATAATTTGACTAAAGGTTGCAACCGTGACCCACATAACTAAAAAAAATGTTAGATATTTTGACAAATATTTTGACCTCGATACCTGAGAGACGTCCAATATATTGACGAAAAATGTCTATTAACTAACAGACCTCTGTGTCTTATATAGGCCAAATATCTTGAGAAAAGATGCCAATTCAGATCTCGATGACACGGAATGGAAATCGTCTTACTAAAAGATATAGATGAGAGAATCTTGACAAAATCTCACGTGAAAAATTGTATTTTATATATTTCATCCATACAAGTAGCCAATTCAAAAATATTAAACTGTAGTCGAATCTGTTTTTCTGTACTTTGAGTTGGATATTTTGAGAAATTAAGCAGAATCTACTATACACAAGAAAGTTTTGTTTCCATATGCTCTGAAATATTAAATTTATTTATTCAGAACATATGTTTAAATTAAATGTGGTCGTTTTATGATAGAAAGTTAAATTAATACATTATGTTTCAAATAGGAAATAGTATGAGACAATGTTGCACGTCGAATCGATATTCGAGTTCCAAGTCCAAAACGGTGAAATTACATTCAAATGAAATATGTTGGTTGAAGAAGAAAAATATATATATTTACTGTTTGCTAATTTCTTTAGATTGTTTCATTCATATGCATAACTAAAAGACCACAAAATAATGACTACTCTTATCACCATCCTAAAAACATTGTACATTTGGGACGTCATGCAAAAATTGCAGTATGATAATGTTTAACAGTACAACTGAGTAATGTGAAGTTTTCCGGATAAGAAAACTATTTGTGTGAATGGGTCAGTAATTGGTGATTAGTCTAGGTTAAAAAATAGGATAATGAATACCAGCTGTCTCTTTGTTCATTTTAGGCCTTGTGCCATACTTTGTAAGTTTTGAAATATAAATATATATTCAGAAGTTATTGCTTAATAAAATATTGAATCTGCTGACTGGTCGTGAAATCTGAGGATTGCTTTCTTGTGCTAAAGTTTGCACTAAATATCCTTTTTGTAAGAATAATAGTTCAATGAAATTTAAAATAAAATTCCATTATTTTATTTCTTTGATCAGTTGTGAATTTTTCCAGAGGTAATTTACAGATGTTAATTTAAAATCTGAAAAGGGAAGGTGGGACATTATTAACAGAAATATTAATTTAAGTCTAAATCCCTTGATTAATTTTCGCAAAGTTTGCATTTATATAGTTGCAGATATGCGTGCGTCTATATAAAAATTTAAATTATATTACATCAATAATTTTCTGCAAAATGATATTTATAATTTTCTGAAATATTATTTCTTATAGAAATGAGAACTTAGAATAATACATGATATGAATGTAAAGCATCTTATAATGTTGCTTGTTTCTCCTTTAGTACGACCGTTAGGCTCTGCCAACGCCTCATAAATAGACTATTCCGTTTTGAAAGGCGAAAAAGACGATTCAGAGACGCTACTTGGCTTCATCGCGAAAAGAAAGAAAGAATGGAAGATATAAGCGTTTAACGTCTCCTACCAAAACAGAATAGTCCATTATTTCTGAGGTAGAAATAATGGACTATTCTGTTTTGCTCGAAGAAAGGACGGAAAAGATATAGAGACTTAGTTTGAGTAAGAAAAGAAAATAAATAGAGAAAAAAGAAAGAAAGAAAACAGAAACGGATGATAGAAGTATTTAAAGTCTAT